AGGAGAGCGTGGAAGTGGACGTTGCCCTTGACCACAGCATTCATGCATCCATCACCAACTTCCAGGTCAGAGAGGCTTTTCTGTGCTTTGGGATAGCAGCAGGTTTGGTGCGGTTTATGTTGTGTAGCAATATTTGAGACATGTATGCTGTTTTAAATGGATTTTTTCATAACTAGAAAAACAAGTAAACAAGTTGTTTACACAGGTATTCCCATGAAATTGTGTTTTAGGAGTAGACCCGTCTCTGCAAGCAGAAAGTAGAATCCCTGGGCCCTCACAAACCACAGCCTCTGCACCCCAGCAGCAGAAGTCTCGGTCTACCAACTCGCGGGATGAGCGCTTCCGGTCAGGTAGGGTCACAACCTAGGAAGTGGGGCAAATGGTCAGGCCTGGAACTCTTGGACTCTGACTACTAAGGCTTTCAGTTATTTTGTCTTTGCCAAAAAGTCTGTGAAGGGTTAAGATCCCCTTACCAGTCATCTTTTAAAAAAAAAAAAAAGAAATTATTGTTAGTTGAGGGATAATTTACATCATCAGATATTTCTTTCTTTTTTTTTTTTTTGTGATGTTTGGCCGCTATGGGGATCTGAACCCTTGACCTTGGTGTTATAACACTAAGTAATAATTTAACCTTCGCATAACCACAGTCTGTTTTAAGGTATCCTGTAGCTTAAGTGCTGCTTTCTTAGGAGATGCTTATGAAAATCTCTGTAGGAATCTTCCTCCTGTCCTAACAGGAGTCATTTCTTTAAATGTTTTTATCCATTTTTCCACTTAGACCTTTGGGGTTGGTATTAGTAATTTTTGTGCGTTATGGAGCAGCTTTACTACCAGGTGCAGGTTTTAGTATTTCTTTTTCTAATTTTGGAGATTTACTTTAGTTAGATTTCTGCCACTCTGTTTGGCAATATTTAAATTTGTCTCTGATATTTTACTTGAAAGATCAGAATGCCCATTGAAAAAAATTATGTTTTCAGTTATAGATTATATATTACTAAGTTTTGAGCACTCTGTTTAACACTTTCACCTTTGTATGATTGTATATTTCCTTTATATTTAAGCTGTTTTGATAAGCCTTTCTCAGAAAAACTTTCAACAGGGATAAAGAAATGGTTTTTTAAGAATACCTAAAAAGAAGCAAGATTTTAAATGCTTTTTCAATGTGGCAGTGTGAAGAAATGGTTTAAGAAATATTTGACCAGATAATTTCTTACCAATATACATTTATAAAAAACTTCATCACACTGAAAATAGTTTCTTTTCTGATTATGGAAATAATATATACTTAGTGTTAAATATATATAAACTATTACACTAAGTTTAAGGACAGAGGTAAAAATCACTGCAATTGCTGAATCCTGAGACAACCACCCTCGTTTACTGAGCACGTTTCCTTTGGGCCTGGATGCAGACACATGTGCACGTATGTACACTTTCCACGAGTGGGATCGTGTGAAAAGTCTCCTTTCTTCCTCCCCCCTTCTTCCCTTCCTCATTTTCCTCTTTTCCCCATTCTCCTCCCTCTCCCCTCCCTATGCTCATGTAGTCGATTTTAATAAACTTGTTTCTGCCTTTGTGAACTTTGTACTAGGTTCTAATTCTTTATCTTCTGAATACAAGTTCTTTATCATAAATATGACTTGCCAGTGTTTTCTCCCAGGCTGTGGTTTGTCTTCTCATTTTCTTTTTTTTGGCTGCTGGCTGGTACAGGTATCTGAACCCTTGACCTTGGTTACCAACACCATCCTCTAAGCAACTAACAGGCCAGCCCTTATCTTTACATTTTCTTAAAGTATCTTTTGAAGAGCAGGAGTTTTTAATTTTGATGAATGTAAATTATCGATTTTTTAAATGGATTATGCTTTTGTTCTTGTATCTAAGAAATCCTTGCCTAACCCAAGGTCACAAAGATTCTCTCTAGTGTTTTGTAGAAATTTGGGTTTTACCCTTAGGTCTATGATCCATTTTTTAGTTAATTTTAGTGAAAGTACAGGGTATAGATCAATGTTTTTTTTTGGGGGGGGGTTTGCATATAGGTGTTCACTTGATCCTATACCATATGTTAAGAAGACTGTATTTTCTCCAGTGAATCCTTTTGCACTTTTTTCTAAAAGCAGTTCTGCATGTGTGCTTGTGTCTGTTTCTGGACTCTCTGTTCTGTTCCCTTAATGGAATCATCTATCTTTAAGGCAAAACCATGCTCTCTTAATGACTGTAGCTTAATAATGTGTTGAAATCAGTGTTAGTTCTCCAACTTTGTTTCATATCCAGGTTTCTTTGTATGTAATGTTTTTTTTTTTCCCTCTGGCACTTTTAAAATTTTTCTCTTTATCACCATGGACTGAATTGAGTCCTTCCAAAAATCCATATGTTGAAGCCCTAATCCCCAATGGGATGGTGTTTGGAGCTGAGGCCTTAGTGTGGAGCCCTCATGATGGGATTAGTGCCCTTATGAGAAGAGAAACCAGAGAGCTGGTTCTCTCTCCTTCCTGCCATATCAGGACACGGGGAGAAGGCAGCTGCCACAAGCTGGGAAGAGAACCCTTACCAGAATCCAGCCTCGCTGGCACTTTAATCTTGGACTTCTAGCCTCCAGAACTGCAAGAAATAAATTCTGTTGTTTAAGCTGCCCAGTCTGTGGTATTTTGTTATGGCAGTCCAAGCAGACTAAGATACACTGGTTTTGAGTGATTTGATTATAATGTGCCTGGTGTTGTTTTCTTTGTTTCTTGTGTTTGGGATCTGTTGTCTTTCCTAGATCTTTTGGTTTATATCCCTATCATGTTGATATTGTCCAGATTTTTAGTTCTAGGCTGTTTTTACCTATCCAGTTGTCCCTTGGTATATCCTCTGGGGATTGATTCCAGGACCCCTGCCAATACCAAAATTCATGGATACTCAGGTCCCTTGTATATAATGGCATTGTGATTGCCTATAACCTGTACACATTCTCTCTTAAACCATCTCTAGATTACTTATAATACCCAGTACAAAGTAAATAGTTGTTATACTGTATTATTTTTTAAGTTTGTATTATTTATTTATTTTTCTTTCAAGTATTTTTGATCTGCAGTTGATTGAATGCTCTAGATTACTTATAATACCCAGTACAAAGTAAATAGTTGTTATACTGTATTATTTTTTAAATTTGTATTATTTATTTATTTTTCTTTCAAATATTTTTGATCTGCAGTTGATTGAATGATGAATGTGGAACCTGTGGTTATGGAGTGCTGACTGTACTTATGTTTTTCTTTTTTTCTAAGACAGCAATAAAGTTTAAAGCATGTGATCACAGTTACCCCCATATCTGTCGCAGGATTCCTGGGTTTGTTTCTTGCTATCTCTCTTTCCTGTTTTATTGAGTACCTTCTTCCATGAGTGTTTTTGGTTGAGTCCATGTGGCAGTGCTTTTGAAGCCTTGTATGTCTGAGAATATTTTTATTAAATTCTCATGTTTAAATGATAATTTGGCTGGATATAAAATTCAGCACTTTCCTTCAATAGTATGTTGCCTTCTTGCAGTGTTGCTATTGAGCATTGTCAGTTTTTTGACCCTTCAAGATGATTTGCTCTTTCTCTCTGGAAGCTTTGAGAATTGTCTTATTGTCTTTGATGTGCGTAAATTTTATTTTAATGTGTCTAGGTGTGAATTTTTCATCTTTCCTGATTAGCACTATATAAGCCATTTAAATGTAAGGTTTTTGAATGTCTTTAAAACATTTTGTTGGAGAAAAATTTAAATATATACAGAAATGGACATTATAGTCCAACCCCCTGGAACCCTTGTCCAGCCCCAGCAGTTCACAGCCTTGCTAGGTCTCGGGTTGATTTCTGCCTACCTCCTTCCTCCCTTCCCATATGATTTTAAAGCAGATCTCAGATGCATTATTTCATTTAGATGTCATAATATTCTTGGTGTCTGTATCTAAAAAGAATGTATATATTTCTAAAAAAGATTTTAGAAAGCTATTATCACAAAATAATTAACAATAATTCTTTAATATGAAATATCCAGCCAATATCCGTATGGCTTTTTACAAACCAGTTTATTTGGACCCAGGATCTAAATTAGATACACACATAGCAGTGGACTGATAGTGCTTTCCATCTTTCTTAACCTGTAGTTTGTGGAGGAACTGAAGCTGCCTCTGACAGCACCCCTAGGGCAAGGTCTAACGTACTCCTTCTCTTGTGGGCTTGGTGAGAGTCAAGCTGCAGATTGAGTCCCTATGTCCCTCCACCCAGAGGCATGTCCTGTCTGCCTCTGATGCTGGAAGCCAGTGATGCTCTCACTTCCTGGATCTGTTAATTCCTGAGAGTTTCAAAATAGTGAGACTCAGATTCTGTCATTCCTTCTTCATTCAAGGGCCAGAATACTTCTGTAAAAGAGAAACTAACCCTCACTTTACTACTTGGTACAGGAAAGCCAAGATCAGTACTTAATTCTTTCCATTTCTTTACTAGTTTTCAAAGTAATAGGTTGGGCCACTGGCATCCTTCAGTGGCAACCAATTGATTTTGTTTCCTCTTTTCTTTTCCTTTCTTTTATCTTTTTTAAGCATCATATTTGATGTTTCAACTCATTCTAGCATTTATCATTATTGATATACAAATTAATCCATCCTTGGCCACGGGGAATCTCTTCAACTGGCACCAGAGTTGCTTGAGGCGTCTGGCTGTTTGATGCTGCTATAGGATCAGATGCTCCAGGCTCCTTCTGGGCATCTCCTTCCCTCCTCTAGAATCTGCCATCTCTCAGGTTTTTTCAGTGAGGGTAGTGTTTATGACCACAGTCTGGGCACTGGGGATGCTGACTGCTATCATTGTTTCCAGACATTGTCAGTGTACAGAGGTAAGACGTATTTTTCAAGATGAAGCACCACATTCTGTTGCAGTGACATTTCCCATGAGGATCCAGGACTGCAGGGTTTTTATCTCCCTTCTTTCATCTACCTCTCTTCTCTCCTCACGAGTATCCAGGTCACCAGCACCACATGTTCTTCATTCAAAACACCCTGGCATAACAGTACCCTCACTTTAAAAAATTTTTATGCCATTCTTTTTGTTCTTAATAGATATTTCTAGAGGAACATATTGAGCAGTCTAACTGCAGTATTTTAAAGTCAGCTGGAATAGTTTAAGCTAACAACTGGATACACATTTAGGCTCATTTGTTTCACTTTATTTTCAATTTGGGGGATTTCTTTTTTATTTAGTTTTGATTTATAACTATGGAAATATTTACATGGTTCCAAAGTTAAATCTACAAAGGAGGAAACTATTTAAAGAAATCTAGGACCTACATATGGAGACAGACTGGTAGGCAGAACTTCTATTCCTTTTATACCCAAGGAATACAAGCAGAAACATGAAACTTAATTGTTACTTCATAATCAATCTTGTAAAAAGTATTTTTATTGCTGTTTTTTCTGTGTAGATGTCCACACTGAAGCTGTGCAAGCCGCTTTGGCCAGATACAAGGAGAGGAAGATGCCTATGCCTTCAAAAAGACGTTCTGTACTTGTGCATTCCTCCGTGGAAACCTACACCCCTCCAGGTATTGATAAACAGTGTCAGGAGTGGCTTTTAGAACTGTTTCACAGGCCTGGGGTTATAATGCTTATTTCCATTGAGTTGGAATATCCTTCTGTCCTGTAACATAGATCTGGAAAATGTGGAGACTAAAAATGTTTGTATATATGCATATTTCTTACCTAAAAATCTGTGGTTTATACAGTATTGTTCTTACCCAAACAGATACTTGCTTTCTATAGGACTTTTTGTGTGGATTTTAATGTTTTTGACTAAGAAGCTATTTATATCTTTTTAGAACCTAAAAGAAGCACTTAGTGGAATGCTAAAGTTTCCTGAATTAAGAATTCTAAAATTATTCTTATTTTATTACCTGTTATTTAATACGTTGTTAGCAGGACTTAAACGAGACAGATAAGTCTGTTTGGAGAGTTTTTTTGTTTGTTTTGTTGTTTTTACTATTAGAAATGAAAACTTTTGTGTGGGGTCTCTCCTCAGTAGTAACATACTGTAAGCTTCCTCTTCAGCTTCACTGAGATATAGATAGTGTTTGATGATGTCAGATCCACAAGCTTCTGCTATTGCCCATCATGTTATTACAGTAACAAAGATGGCAACGCTCCTTTTCGGTTTGATGCATTTGGAATTACTACCCAGTAAAAATGAAACACACCAGATTGACAAGATGATTTAGTTGCTTTGGTAATGCTTCCTTACTAAAAACAAGACTTAGTAAAGGCTGTCAAATTATTGTTGCTACTAAATATAGCTATAGACACTATCCAATTGTTAAAGAATGTTTAATAGTTGTAAAACCCATAATAAAATGCACAGATGTGCTGACTTGATGGAACCTTAATTCACAGTTAATTTTATTGAGTGAAGCAGTTGTCTTGGAGAAGAAATTCTTTTTGGAGATGGTTCTTGTGATTTCCTTAAGAGGACACACAGGACAGAGCTGCAGTCCCCCTGCAGCCACCATGGTGCTGCTGGGAATTGTGCACAGGCCAGCAGATGAGGCTCCTGCACTACCTCCCCAGGTGTAGGCTCCAGTGCAGGCTCCCTGAGTGTGTCGAGCGATTGTTTGAGTGTGGTATCAGGGCTCTGTGTTGGACGTGCAGTAGTAGCACTGGACATTTACAGAGCACTTAACTGTCAGTGATCTCCTTTGACATGTGGGACCCCAGGTATATGCTGAAGCTGTTTAGGAGACCAGAGGCATCTTCACTTCTGGTGTATGGTGCCCATGTGGCTAAGTCCTTTCTGGGGAAGTTGGGTGCTCATGGAACTGTTTTTCCCATAATAGGGCTCCTTGTATGCCCTTCTTGATTGAGGGTGACCTTTGATGTGACACTTGGCCTCTTCTGGGCTGAGCTGTTCCACATGCACAACAGCATGCTACGCGCAGGCGTGGGAGGCTCCGGTGCGAGTGTGGGAACTCCGTCGTCCTCTTGACTCATCCCTACATCATGCCTGTCGTCGTTATTTTAACCACAGACACGTCGTCTGCCTCAGAAGATGAGGGCTCTTTACGGCGACCTGGGCGACTCACCTCCACTCTGCTCCAGAGCCATTCCAGCGTCGAGCCCTGGCTCGACCGGGTCATTCAGGGCTCGTCCACCTCATCCTCTGCATCCTCCACCTCATCTCACCCGGGAGGGAGACCCACCACCGCTCCCAGTGCTGCTGCCACGCCAGGGGCTGCTGCCGCCATTGCGCTCACAGGCCTCGCGGCCCACGCCCACATAGGTCAGTAACGAGCTGCCGTGGCCTACGTGCCAGCAGAGTCAGTGCCCAGGACAGAGGTGTGCTGCACCCCAGCTGCAGCACCATCCCTCTGTGCAGTTCAGGTGGAGCACACCTGAGCCACGATGCCTCCCTGCAAACTTAGCTGCAAACATGAGCTCTCTCCCAGTGACCGAAGTCAGGCAGCCCAAGTATCACATGGTGGCTCATTTGCCTGAGACAGTAACTGGTTTTGAGCTTTTAATAATTGCACTTGAAAGAAATGGGAGTAATATGTAGTTAATCATCATCCAGATTAAATCCTTAATAACCTTTTGAACAGTATGGCTCAGTTGCTAAATTTTTTCCTGTCAAGCACCACCTCTTTTTCATCTGGAAAATGTCCTTTTGGGAACAAAAGTAGTTCTTGATGCTTTTGCGATTTGGCAGTCCTAGACTCTTGTGGCGTGTGGACCTCCCCTGTGCTCCCCCAGAAGAGTGGTGTTTCTTGATGTCGTATCATCCCTTCCTGCTCCTGAGGAGCAGCTGGCACACGTGGGCTGGAGCAAGTGGCAGATACAGGGCACATGGTCAGTACACAGACCTGCTGGTGGTCATGATGGCAACCCATGGTCTGGTCTGGCTGTCTCTCTCTTGTCTCTGCTTCTCCTTTTGGCATGTCTACACAGCTGCAGGGCCATCAGTTGTCCCTGCGCTGGGCTGGGGGGTTCTGAGGCAAGGGACTGGGGCCACAGCTGTGGTCTGGCCTTTCTTCCTCCAGATAATGGGTTAAATAACCCTTCAACCTGGAAACAAAATGTCAGTTGAAGCTGGTCATCAAGATGCACAGATCTTTTCCAAATCACACAGTCCTTTGAATTACATTAATCTTAGAAAGAGGGCCGGCCCGGTGGCGCACTCGGTAGAGTGCGGCGCTCCCACTGAGGGTTTGGATCCCATGTAGAGACCGGTCCGTTCACTGGTTGACTGCGGTGCGGGCGTGACACCGAGGGTTGCGATCCCGTTACTTGTCACGAAAAAAGAAAAAAGGAAAAAAAAAAATCTTAGAAAGAAAAAAATGCAAATCTTTCATTATTTGAAATCCTGTTTTTTAATAAAAACAGTAGCATGCTTAGTTGTCTGTGGCTGGCATGTGAAGCCCACACACGTTCTTGCCCTAGCACCTTAAAATACAGTCAGTATTGTGGAAGACTCATCTTAACCTCTCATTCTTTTCTAGAGGAGGAAGGAAGTCAAAAAGTCGGGTGACTATAGCTTGCCTGAGATCATACAGCTGGCTTAGTGGTGATGCCAAGAATGACCCCAGTTTTCTTGAGCCCTATTTATTTATTTATTTTTTGCTTTTTGTTGCTTTTCTGCTAACACTGACATGGTGAGCACCTGCAGCGCACCCCTGACAGGCTGCTGTTTGAGGAGGGGTCCCACGGGCCACTGCAGGTGGGCACTGGGCTCATGTACTGAGCTACTTTCATGTAAAATCTTGGTCGTTTGGCTGGATTGGGAGTATATTGGGTGTTTTAAGTGGCCTACAGCTTCTTCTCAGTGTCCTCTGTAGGCATGTCACTGTTCTTCATTTTTTATTTGAGTCAGTATGCCAAGTCTGTGTATTTCTGTTGAATATATGCTTTTCTCCTACAACATAAGTCTTAGGTGAAAACTCATGATGTTTCACTCTGCATCCACATTGTGCTTCCAGCTCAAACAGGAAGTGCCAGGACCATTAGAGTAGTAGGAGAAGGCAGCATTTTCCATGAGAAAGTGCCCCTTTGGAAGACAGTCTGCCTGATTGTTTTTGTAACTTTCCTGGGTGTCCTACATATGGCTGGTGGCTACTGTCCACCTTTCCTCAGGGAGGCTTACAGTTGATAGCTTGAAAACAGCTTATCTTCTATACTGTTATTTTCCTTCTCCGTGAGTCGTGGTGATTTAATTTTATAGATGCGCACAGTTAACTCCACTGTGAGAAAAATAGTAGTTTTTGAATGTTCTGTTGCCTTATTTCTGCTTCCTGAAGCTTTTTTCAAGGTGAGGTGGTGTAGGAAAGCAAACAGTGTTTATGGTTGTTAGCCTCTCACTGCAGAGCTGTCTAAATGTTTTCCTGGTGGGTCTGCAATAAAAGTATATTTAGCATGAAAAATTAGCCACAGTTCAAAATGTTTAACCACACAGCTTTCCAGTCGTTGTGGGGTGTCTTTTAACAAAGTACTTAACTCTAATGTGTGTTTGAATTAGGTGTTTTCATTCTCTGAAAAGGCTGTAAATATTTATAACGTAGGTATCACCTGTGGTGATGCATGATGACTCCTGCCTTCTGCAAATGTACCTGTAATAATCTGCTTTCCTTTCTTATTTGCTTCACCTAGCATAGACATTTTGTGATTAATGCTAGTAAATTTTTTAAATTTATTTTTTATTAGCATATTCATTGTTACAAATCATACTTATTCTTTATGCCCCTTATCCAATCTCTACCCTTCCCCTCCCTCCTTCCCCCTCCTCTTCCCCCTTCTTTCTTCCCTTCCCCCCTCCCCCCCTAATAATCATAGACTTGTTCTCTCCATCTGATAGATTAACTATTCCTCTGTTGCCTAGATGTTCTATCCAGTGCTGAGACAGGTGTGATCAAGTCCTCCCCTATTATCGTAAATCAGATGCTTCTTCTGTTATTCTGGAATGTGTTTTGTGGAGAGAGAGGACCTCTTTTTTTGGGGGGGGGGGGCTCTGCTGGTGCCTCTCCTTGTGTCAGTGCAGTTGAGAATCTGGCGTGTCATCTGCACAGTGGCTGTGACTGCTGCTATAGAGACTGGCTGCTTTTGTGGCAGCCATGACAATTGTGGCTATGGTGGGCTACCTGCAGGAAAATGGTGTTTTTGGTGTGCTCTTTACCTGGTCGCAGCTGGGTTCAGCTTCTCCCGGCTTCATGCCTCAGGACCCCAGCAGGGCCCAGGGTGTTGGTGGCAGCTTGCCTAGTTGCAGGTGGGTTCAGCCTCCCCCAACTCCACGTAATTCTAGTAAATTTTATTTTATTTTATTTTATTATTTTTTTTTTTCCTTTTTTGTCTTTTTTTCGTGTCCAGCAACGGACCGCAACCCTCAGTGTTGCGCCCGTACCGGACCGGGACCGGCAACGGGATTGCAACCCTCGGTGTTGCTCCCGTGCCTCGCTCAGCCAGTGAGCAGGAACCGGTCTGCATGTGGGATCCGAACCCTCGGGCGGGAGCGCCGCCACGCTTCCCAAGCGGCGCACTATCCAGTGCGCCACCGGGCCGAATTCTAGTAAATTTTAAAAAAATCTGAACTCAGGCTCTATATAATACCCTACTGCATATTGTAGTTTTCATATGGTAAATGTTTGCTGTACATAGGTAACTTGAATTCCTTTTTTTTTTTTTTTTTCCCCTTTTGTCTTTTTTACTGACCGGTAACGGGATCGCAACCCTCGGTGTTGCGCCCGCACCACGCTCAGCCAGTGAGCGGGAACCGGTCTCCACATAGGATCCGGAGCGCCGCCGTGCTCCCAAGCGGCGCACTTCTCCAGTGCGCCACCGGGCCGGCCCAACTTGAATTCCTTAATCTCAAAATATTCAACTTCCCTCTCATTACAAAAATCTTCCTTTGTTTTAGTTTCTAACTCTAGATAATTATTCAGTTTGAACTAAGGAAAAAAAATATGGAAAGAGGAAGAATATATTAAGTAAAATATTTGAGGTAGACCTATTAGGTATAGGTAATTTAAAAAATATACCATTTTCAGTTTTTGATTAAGGAAATCAAATATATTAAACGTTGTGACACAAATATAAATACCTGTATTTGTATTTTTGTTTTTAATACCTATATTTAAAAGTAGTACTTTTAGGGCCGGCCCGGTGGCGCACTGCTATAGTGTGCCGCTTGGGAAGCGCGGCGGCACTCCCGCCCGAGGGTTCGGATCCCACATACAGACCGGTTCCCGCTCACTGGCTGAGCGAGGCGCGGGAGCAACACCGAGGGCTGCGATCCCGTTGCCGGTCCCGGTCTGGTACGGGGGCGACGCTGAGGGTTGCGATCCGTTGCCAGACACGGAAAAAGACAAAAAAAAAAAAAAAAAAGTAGTACTTTTAGTTATAGTAGTTAATTTTTATTCTGAATGTAGTTTATTTTTATGCAACTATTTTTAAAACTACTTTGTAATGTATAAGTGATCATGTATACCTTTTTTTCTCCGTGTATACTTTTAAAATCATTTATTCTTTTGGCTAGATTCGGAAGAGTGAAGAAATTTCTTTTTATCTTTTTTTGGCTGGCCAGTACAGGGGAAATTTCTCTTTAAACCAGAGGAACAGGGCTGGCCTGTGGCTCACTCGGGGGAGTGCGGTGCTGATAACACCAAGGCCATGGGTTCGGATCCTATATAGGGATAGCTGGTTCTCTCACTGGCTGAGCGTGGTGCTGACACCACCAAGCCAAGGGTTAAGATTCCCTTACTGGTCATCTTTTAAAAAAACAAACAAACAAACAAAAATAATAATAAAAAATAAACTGGAGGAACCTCCTGATAGACATACTTTAAAATGCTAATTTAATCAATATCAAGCTTTTTCAAGGGTTGTGGAAACTGTCATTAAAGCTTTAGATTTTTCCAAAAGGTACATTCTGCTATGTTATTGTAGTGACTTTGTGTTTTGCTTCTAAATAAGTTTGGCTTCCTACATATCTAAAAATTTCTTACTTTACATTGTCCTTAGGTTAATTAAATGGTAGGTAGATGATCAGAATTTAAACATTTAAAGTGTTAGAGTGTCAGAATGAGATTGGCAGGTACATTTATTAAAGTACATTTATTACCAATCTCTACCCAACATAGACCAATACTGATTCTTACAAGTGAACAAGTATCTGTGTATTCATTGTGGTAGAGCAGTTTCTGATAGTTGTACATACATGTTGCATTTCCTAATTTTAGACCCAATTCTAATAATAAATCCCTTAGCAATTTATAGTTAGCCAGCATTCGGAACAGA